GAGTGTCGTAAAACCAAAACCAAACCAATTACTTACCAATTAGACTACTCAGCCAATCTCAAACCGTAGTAAAACCAAAACCAAAACCAAAGTAATTATTGTCTAATTACTTTCGACACTCAATTGAAAACCGCTCTATACAGAATGAGATATAATAATTGTACCTATATACTGTAGTGAAAGACGGTATCCCCCTCAACTAATTGAGGGCATTTTAAACTCCAAACATCAAATATTTGTATTCCTAACTTTTGACTATTTTGATAACTACATGAAGTAGTTGATGAAAGCACCATGGTTATTTCCTGCCTCATATTTGTTAATGCAATGAGTAGACTGAATGAAAGGTTTTTATATGTACTCAAAAAGTAGTATATTTATTTAAGTAGTGGTTTTATCTATCTTGTAACGTGCAGTGAAATGCACCTTTGAATAAATGTTTAAACTTAACACGGATTGCTGTTGTTACGTAAGATCTTTCTAAACTCATTATTTTACCCTCAGTCTCCTCCACTTTCCCCCCCTCCCTCACTATCACCAATTAGCATCGTTCTTTTTCAAGGAAAATCAGTTATTGTTATGACTGCTCTTGCACCGCCTTCCTCCCTGAAAAGATGATTTAGTGAAATTAGAAAACGTGTTAGGATACCACTCAGTAGTCCGTTTTGGTACCTCATGGAGCTAAATATAACTGAAGGACAACAGGGTAAGCAGCGTAGGAAACCTCCTGAAATATACGAAGGAAGTATAATGATTCCTCCTTTCGATTAAGAAAAAAGCTCTGCTGACCTAAGTTTAAAATTCCTACATGCAAGTACAGTACTCCTCCCCTTTAATTTCTAAACTTTCCTATCCCCCCACCCTCACGATAATACAGGAGATCATCATGTTTTGCGATCTCGAAGACGCACTAGAAATCGTAAATTCATTTACTCTTGGTTCTTTGTTTTGATTGGTCGTTCCTGCCACTAAATTTTGACACATGGTAGCTCGAAAACGAAATTTACCCTGTTTGTTTGTATTTCACAATACCAGGGGTTTTTCCCCCTTTTGATTTTGTTTTCACGCTTCCAAAGGTCGAGAAACAATATTGAACCTTCTTGTCATCACTGGGTAGTTTTAAATACAGGTCTATCACGTTATGACTGCACTATCGTAACGTGAAATCAAAAAGTCTTTCTACAGTTATCACCGCAGGTCACATTTTTCTTAGTAATACGTGCGCGTGCGACTTGAATTAATCATTTATACACAAGAGCATTCACCCGAAATTTAATTAACTTCATTTCCCATTTCCAAACGACACTTGGACAAGCATTGTCCACTTCGTATTCTTACTACTGTCATTTACATCGCTATCTCCGAGTCGCTCCTTTTGCTCCATTTTGCTCCATTTGTTTTATGCCGAGTATCATGTATTAGC